CCTGCCTCTGCCTCCCGAGTGCTGGGATTAAAGGCGTGTGCCACCACACCTATTATTTATTATTTTTATTTTATGTGTATGTGCCTGTTGCCTGCATATAGGTAAGTGCACTTATGTCCTACAATGCCCACGGAGGACAGAAGAGGCTGTCAGATCCCCTGGAACTGGAGTTATGGACAGTTGTTAGCTGCCATGTGGGTGCTGGGATTCGAACTCTGGTCTTTTGCAAGAACAGTGAGTATTCTTAACCGTTGAGCCATCTCTCCAGCCCCAACCATTTTAAATTTTATGCTTTATTGACCTTTAGTTCATTCATTTAGTAGTAACTACTACTACCTCTTTGAAGTTCCAAAACATTTTCATCACCCTCAAAGAAAATCTTGTGCCCACTAAGCAGTCAGTCTCCATTCTCTTTCTCTTAGGGTCTGGAAGCCACCAGTTTGCTTCCTGTCTATGGATTTACCTGCTCTAAACACTTCATATAAATGTCCAACAAGCAGCTTTTTGCGACTGGCCTCTTGCACTTGGTGTAGTGTTTATTTTTTTAATTTGTGTATGTGTGAGTGTGTGTGTGCGCATACTTGCGACTACGGAGGCCAGAGGAGAGTATCAGGTCCCATGTAGCTGGAATTACAGGCAGTTGTGAGCTGCCCAATGTAGGTGCTGGGAAATTAATTCTGATTCTCTACAAGAGTAGCAAGTGTGCATCATTCCTTTTTTCTTTCTCTCTCCTTCCTTCCTTCCTTCCTTCCTTCCTTCCTTCCTTCCTTCCTTCCTTTCTTTCTTTCTTTCTTTCTTTCTTTCTTTCTTTCTTTCTTTCTTTTTGTGGTCTTTTTGAGACAAGGTCTCCCTGTAGCCACAGCTGGCCCTGGATTCGCTATGGAGACCAGGCTGGCCTCAAACTCACAGAGATGTGCCTTCCTCTGCCCCTTGCTGGGATTAAAGGCGTGTGCCACTATGCCTGGCCCTTTCATTCTTTTCTATAGCCAAATTAATTGTAGGTGTATAGCACATTTGGAGAAATAATTTTTATTTTCTGTGTATGAGTGTATTGCCTGCATGTATAGTGCACCCGTGTTGTGCAGTACCCACTGAGGTCAGAAGAGAGTGTCGGATCCCCTGGAACTAGAGTTATGGACTGTTAGCTGCCATGTGGGTGCTGGGAATGGAATCCTAATCCTCTGCAAGAGCAGCCAGTGCTCAGTTGTGCTCTTAACTGCTGAGCCATCTCCAGCCCCAAGCACATTTTATCTATTCTCTGGATATGCATTGGAGCTATCTCCCTTTCTTTTGGCAGTTGTGAGTTAGTAGCACTTTGAACAAAGTATTTGAATACTTATTTTTAATTCCTTTGTTTTTTTAAGACAGGGTCTCTTTTAGCCCAAAGATGACTTCAACTGGCTGTGTAGCCCAGGAGGTGTCCTTGAACTACAGATTCAGTTGCCTACACCTCCCAAGTTCCATCTCACCCAACTTTTATCAAGGTTTTAATCTGCATTTTCTCTATGCTGATGTTATGGGGGCTCTTTTTTTATGTATATATCTCTGGAGCAATGTCTGTCCAGGTCCTTGACCTCTTTAAAACTGAGTTCT